ATGAACTATGTACCTACAGGGTTCAGAATTAACTTTTCTCTTTCTTCCAACACACCCTCTTTTTTTTTCTTTCTCCCTCCCTTTTTCTTACATCTTTATTGTTCTGCATAAACATGCAACTTCTTTTTGGCCAAAACTATAAGTGCCTTAGGATTTGTTTAGTTGTATTTATGTATACATTTCTAACGTTAATTATGAGCACCAGTCTGAAATACAGCCTCATGTTCTCCTTTTGATGTGATCTGAAGAATCTCTGTTGAAGGCCATGGAGCTAAGATCAGAACCCAACCCTCTGTATGGCTGCATAGTCGTACAAGAGCTAACATTAGCCTGTTTAAAAAAAAAACAAATGCAAAAGTAGGTATAAAAAGGCTAATAATCTGCTTGTTTGTAGTAGGGAATCACAAATACTATCTGCACCTGTAGATGTAGCTGATTGTGCTAATAATGATAGCAAGGGAGACCCCCTGCAACTAGCCCACGGAGAGTAACAGCAGATTTCACAGGTGGGTGCTGACAGCAATGGTAGATTTCATGCTTCATCACAGATTAATAAAACAGGGAGGATATTAAAATGCTAATACTCATTAATACTGTTTTATGGTGTTTAACATTAAACATGGAAAATGAAAATGAATGACAGCCGGTAAATGAAACTGACAGTTGTGTTCAGGGTATCTGAAGCTAGTGAGAACTAGCTGCAGGAAATAAAAGCTGTGGATGCTTTCCTTCCTGCTGTGGGTCAAGCCAAACAGCACCTCCTGGTACCTAGACTTTTGCAAGGTCACCTAAACTTAGACTTAAATAGACTCTTCTGTTATTATAAAATATTTGATGACATTTTTTCTTTACCAGCATTGGACAGAACCATTATTTTCTGTGTCATATGAAGGACAGAGTCTCCAGCAATACGTATGTCTAAGAGCAGAAATCACAGCCCATTGAAGCATAATTGTGAAATATTTTTTTTTTTTAAGTTTAGGTGGTCAACATTTGGGGTTTTTCCCCAAAACTCTTCTTGTGTTTCAATTGGCTCCATTGTTCTTCATTTCTTACTGAAGTTTCAATAAGCTTCTCTTCATCCCAGAGGCAGCTGCATTTCAGCAACAAGTAAAAGTTGGCCCTCTGTGGGCTATAATGTATGTAATGTAATGTAATATAGTACAAAATGATACAGTATTATATACATAGATACAAACTTAATTCTGCCATATCACAGATTGTTCTAATTTCATTTGTGGTTAAAACTCACTGAAAACTTCTGCGTAGCTGTGTTTAAATATGAAACTTAAAGATCTAGGGTATTTTCACCTAATGTTCTTCACGAGTAAGAATTTTTAATTTAGCACAAACCTTATTCGTGCCCTTGCTGTCATGCAAAAATCCCAGGAACACTGGGAAGACATTGTAGTGCACAGGGTCCGAGGATAAAGGGATTCTAAAGGCATGGTACTGATTTCTCTCTGATGGTGATAGTACTTGGTAAAGTTACAGCTGTTTGACCAAGTATCCATTTTTGTACCTTAATGGTTTAGGTTTTAAATAAAATTAACCTTGAATCCTAGGTTTATAATGCTTTGGCCTGAGTCTACAGTCTGCAGAGCTGACTGCAAATGACTGATGTGTGCTCTGAGCTATTAGGTACATTTAATACAGACTTTTCCAGGAGGTTCCTTTGTTTTTTAAAATTTTATCTTCTTTTGAATTCCCAGCTGTTTCTTGCACATGCACCATGAATTTCAACTGCCCTGTTGTCTTCATTTCCCCCACATATGCACTGTCTCTTGCCAACATCCCCCTTTGTTGTGACCTGCTGTGTGAATGGAGGATTCCATCCCAGATATAATTCTAATTTTTATATGCTTAAAATGTGGTCAGAATCAACCCCTTTCAAACTTGCTGCCATCTCCCGTTGTTCTCAAGGGACTGAAGCCACCTAAGGTCCTCCAGGGATTAGTCCCCTCTTCCTTTACAAGCAGCAATTTAACGGCACTCTCAATCTTTGCTGTTTAATTGAAAACCTACTACTTTATGTCAAGGTGAAAACAGACAGATATCACTTCAAAAATCGCATTTTGGGGAATGAAAGGTCACAAAAAAGGCTTGTCACTTGAGCTGGAATTTATGAAAGCATGTTTATTTTGGCAAATGTTTCTCAAAAGCAGGTTCATTTTTATCCTCTCTACTGTCTGGATTTTCCTGTGAGGTGTCAGAGCATGGTTACTCCAATTGAGCTTACAACTGGATTTCTGCCAAAATTTTGTGTCCCTTCCTCTCCTTCTGCCCACCTTCCCACTTTCTTTCTCCTGGTCATAGTAGATTTTTCCTTATGTTGATCTCAGTGGGTATTTCATACTTACTTCTTGGTGCTAAAGAAAATAACAAGCTTAGAAAGAAACCAGGGTGATGCCAAGTTTTAAAACCTGAAGAGAACAAAAAAAGATCCCTTGCTTCAGTGTATACAGTCTTACACTTATTTCTTCTTAATGTAGGCATGTGTAGTTCAGGGTTTGATTGTAAGAGTTTTTAATACACGAGACCAGAAACCTTTTTGGTTTGTTTTCTCCTGAATCTAGGTTACAGGCTAGTTAGTTCTTCCAAACTCCTGCTAATTTTTTTCTCTCTTGATGAAGGGTCTTCAGTCTTATCCCTCCTTTGATTTAAATTCCTTTCCTAGTCCCAGCCAGATGTTTGGTTTCCCCCGCTGTTGACAGTCAGATAATATTCTCACGCTATCACTTCGTATATCCACATTTAAAGATCTGTCACAAAAAATTCCCAAATTTTTGTCACTGAGTGCCTTACTAGGTATTTTTAAAACTTTCCAAAGGCATATTCCTTTAATGTCGCACATAAATTCTGCTTAAACAGCAAGCAAAGGCAAACCTTCCTGTTTTTCCTTTTCCGGTAAGAAGGGTGTGTTTCTGAGCCACATCTTATGGATGACCCAGAGATTTACTCCACCTTTGCTGAAGGAATGTGGCTAGCGCTTCAGAGAGTTGCAGGAAAGCTTCAGGAGTTCGGCCAAGAAAGAGTAAACCATCGAAAACCAGGCAAAACTTTGTCTTTCCCCCTTTCCACTGCTTTCATTTCCTACCGTGTTGTGTTGTCCTCTGCATCAGACTATTTAAGACTGCCAAATACTTGGATATTTTATAGGTAATATATCTTATAAATGCCATGGCCAGCCTCTGAGGGAAACACAGAATTGTCGGTTTTGGATGGAGTATAAAACCCAAGCAGGAAATCATTGCTGAATGGCACAGCTGCAGGCAAACATTGTAAGCTAGTAAACTGCCCATCTGCACAGCCACACGTGTGTCGGAGCACGGGGCTAGGACAGCCGTGGCAGAGCGCGCCTGTAAGTGGTTAGCAGGGAGAATTTGGTGATTAAAGAATGAAGTGGTTTGCTTCATTAGTTCCTGAAATACAGCTATCTGAAGGTGATTATAATGTTATTTTCAAGAAAGAGGAGAGACTGAAGACTAGAGCTTTTCCTTGTCTGCAGTAAAAAAATAGAAGCAGATTTTCAGATCTGGGATGGGTTAGATCATCCCACTGCAGGACAAAGGATGTGACACAACCTACAGTTGAGTGCTGAAGGAAAAGTTTGTCAAGAAAAAGGAAAACACTGTATTTGTTCATAGGGCTGAACTGGTGATCATCTGAATCTTCCCATCAAAGTTAGAGACAGGAAAGACTGTTTTGGTCCTTTTTCTGTTTCACTATCATTGACCTGAACAGAAGCCTGGGCGGGTTATGAGCTGTATGTTTCTTAAAGTTTGAACTGTTTAAGATCCCCCTTTGCTAGAGATTTTGCCAACCAAAATCAATTTCAGGAGACTCATTCTAGTACTTTCCTTTTTTAATTTAACCTATAGTTAGTTCCTAGTTTTGCTGTCTTCCATTCTAAATAACTCCTCTTTCTTTGCAGGTTATCATTTGTTGAGTTCCTCTAGCCAAGTGCTCTGTGTTAGTTCTCCCAGTCCTTCCTCTGAAGTTTAGCACTTCCTCTTATACATGCCAAGTTTGAATTCATTTTCCGCATGATTTTCCCAAGCACTATTTTAAATAATCCACAATTCAGTAACTAAATGCAGATTGTTAAAATAATGAAACAACAACAGTAAAGCTGTTTAAGACTGTTTTAAGACTGCATCTCGTGCATTCCAACTTTAGAAACTATTGATTTGGGGTTTTTTCCCAAATGCTTTATTGAAAAATAAAATTATCTTCTAATAGTCAAAATTAAATTACCAGGGTTACAATCCCATTGTATAGCAGACTTTCTGCATTGATATTTGTCTGTTGGGGAGGGTTTTTTCTTGATTCACTGTAATGTATAAATCAATGCAAGAGGAAAGATTGTCTGGTGATCAGGGTCCTTGTTTAAGGCATAGGTGGTTTGGGGTCAAGTCTCTGCTTTATCATAAACCCCTCGTGATTTCTCTGCCTCCTACTATTGGGGTGTCAAAATGAATATAATAAAAGTTGAAATCTGTACGCAGGGAAGATGGGCGTATTGCCAGCTGAAGCCTTTGGAAACTTTCTGTTGAGTGATGTATTTTGGATTGGGGCACCTAAAGAGCGTGAAACTCCTGGGACCTAAACTTGTTAAAATGTATTTATTTCTCTTGGTTAAAGAATGAGTCTTTAAAATGTTCTTGATGTTTCATGTGAGCAGGAGGACGTCATTAATGTCTGTGTCATAAATATTTTCATTTAAGGATCAGATATTTCAGATATCCTTGAGCATTTCCATTTTTTTTGTCACAAAGGAGCTTCTTTGGTTTTTCCTCTATAGGCACTTTATTCTCTCTTTTCCTGTCAATTGATGCCATGTTTTAAGCCACATAAAGTGGATTTCAGTAGTTGTCATCAGGATATTGGTACTGTTCAGCATGAAAAATGTTCAAAATGTCTCATAATGTTATGCAAAGAAAATGAAGACATGTATGTTTTATCATTCATGGACTTCATGTGTGCTTCTCCTGCCCCAGGACAATCACATCTCTCCGGAGTGAACTGATTCCACATCTGGTTAGGAAACAGTTCTCTTCTACATCATTGCAGCAAGGACTAGACAACAAAGAAGAGGACCAAAAGAAAAAAGAACAAGCATCCCTAGGTCAGTACAAGTATCAAAGATTTGATGGTTTTAAAGCCCATATGCTACAGCTGAATTATTGGGTAGAGTACAGAATTAGCCTGAAACACTAGTTTGGGGATTCTTTTTTCCTCTTCTACTTCATGATAGCAAAGATTATAGTAGATTCCTTTTTCAAACACAATTGTGCATTATATCAGTATTTTTGTCTTCCCTTATTTTGGTGTAAATCAAGAGCAAATCAGCTAGGTGCTCTACATTTTTTCTTCTGGAATACAGTATAGGTAAATGCACTTTTGAAAATGTAATTTTAGGAGGGAGTTCCTAAAATTGCATAGGGCAACAAACTAAGCCTTAACCTCCCTGCACTGGAAACTGGACAGGGTCTCAGATCTTGGAATTTATTTTTAGCATTTCCGCTGTCTCCTTGTGTGACCTTGGGCAAAACATTGCATCTGTCCTGATCCCCTGGTTCCCACCTGCAGAATAAAAATAAGCACTTACTCACTACATGTGATAAAATCTGTTAATGATTGCTAAGTATCTAGCCATTCAGATGATGTGAGGCAAAGATTTCCCTTCACCAACAGTATTTTAATAGTATTCTTGTTCAGAAAGTATTTCATTAAATCCTGTCTAACTTCATGCATGTGTGTGTTCTCCAGACATTTATAGCTTCATAAAGGAAGATAATAGCTTGCTGAAACCTGCTTCAGATAACTCTTGTTGGAATGATCATAGAGGAGATATGAATGAAACTCTCCATGAAGGAAAAGTGCGCTGCTACGTCCATATAATGAAAGAGGGACTGTGCTACCGAGTGAATACTCTGGGGTTGTATATTGAAGCTAACCGACAGGTGAGAAAAATTCAGAACTGCCACGTGGGAATACAGCAGTAATTTATGGGACATTTTAGCCTCCAGGAGTGGCTCCCAGCGATACAGCTGAGGAGTGTGTGGGAATTGAACCAGTGCCATGCTATCTAGGCACATCACCGTACTGGTTGCTGGATAGGGACATGAGGCCAGGAAACAGTTCTGTGACTAATTTACTCCATAGCTGTGATTTAGCTAAGAAAGCCCCCACCCCACACACTCTTTTGGTTTTTGGGGGTGGCAAGACCTGCAGCCAAAGAGCCAAGACATATGGAAAATGAGGCTGGAAGTAGTTTTGATGGATTATCTAATCAGTGTCCTCCACGTCCTAAAAGCAAGATCAGTTCTGACTGGACTCTTCCTAACAGATGTTTATCTAAGTGATAATGACAAAGGTTATTAAAGATTTGCAGGAAGACTTAAACTGCCCATACATTCAAATTGCCTAATGCTTTCCATTATGAAAGAATTATTTTATGAACAGGTTTCACTACAGTGGCACTTCAGGTAAACACAGAGGTGAAACGTTGATCTGTTGTAGCTTTCACTTTCACACAACTGAGAATTCATAAAATAAAAGATCACAAGGGAGGATTAGAGAAATCCTGTACTAGCTAATGAGCTGATGATTAAAAGCTTTTAGTATGTTTGGGGGGGTTTTGGGTTGGGTTTTTTTTTTGCTACACTGGCTGATGCAATGTACAAGTTCTCACTTCACTCTGCTAGTGATGAACTACTTTGTTATCAGGAGTGGACAATTTCCTCTAGTTTTGAAAGACCAATAGGGAGTGCAGTATTTGACTCAAGATTTCTGGAAGTGGGGCTGGGAGAGCGATAAAGTTGTATTGGGAATCTTGGAAGTGGTCACTGCCTTGCCTTTGCTCTCAGATTGAGTTGATTTCTTTTTAATAACATGAATGGATTAATTTATGCAAATTAGAATTGCAGCATGGCAGAGTGAGTTCACACACTGGAGCTCTTTCTCCTTGGTGCCTGTAGAGGAGCACAGGAATAAAGTGATTTGTTTTGCAGTTAGGGACATGAGGAAGAGAGGAGGGAGGCAGCACTGCTGTCAGAAAGGGAAAACTTTCTCCAAGAATATCAGGAACAAGTGAGCCCAAAGGGTTAAGGGAGAACACCGCTTGCTAGGGGAAGTGTGCGTGTACATTTGGCAGCAGCCACTTCAGTAAAAAGTTATTGAGTTGAGCCAGTCAGACTCCATGTGGGTTTTTTTTGTGTTGGTTTTTTTTTGCCTTTTTTTTTTTTTTAACCTAAATATTCTACATTTTGGTCAGTTCAGGAAATGTGTTTGCTCCTGGGTGGTACATAGAATTAGTGTTTCGAAATCACATTGGGGCCTTCAATGTTGGAAAGGATTTTCTTTGAATTTTTAACTTTTCCAGAATGGTAAAATTTCTAAGGAAACTATGCAGAGGTAAAACATAAAATGGAGCTTAATGAGGGGTTGTGAGAAGGGAGTTCCTTTTTTCAGTGCCACTGCATTTTGTTTCTCTTGCTAATCCTCATAAAAGATACACATTTAATTTTATCAGCTTTTTTTAACCTGTTTTGTTGGTCTTTAAGGAAGACTTTTGGTGTCTTGTTTGTTCTTATCTTGGTCTTCACAGACCAGATTCTGATTCCCTGCCTGCAAAGCCGGGACCTATAACTTTGCTGTCCAAGAGGACAGACTCACGGAGCAGTAGCAGTCCAGTCCAGTAGCCATGGGAAGGAATGGCATCCTAACCCATTGCCCTTCTGGTGAGGAAACACTTTACTCACATCATTTCACTTCCAGCTGGGTTTCTGGATGCCTGCAGCCTGTGTGTGGGCAGGTGGGTTCAGGAGGGAGTTATCTTCAATAGCAGGAAATAGTTTCTTTGTAAGATGAATTAAATCCAAACACATCTTAAACCTTCCCTTGACCCAGGCACTCCCTCTGACTCCTGGCCCCTGTCTAACCTTCCTTTTCAGAGCAAAATGCTTGAGCTGGTAGATTTCTTGGGTCACCCCTCAGGCTGCACTACCATTGACTGATTCTAATAAAGGCTTTGCTCTGGCCAGTAAAATCCTTTATTTATTTCACCACACCACCTTTCCACTGAGGAGGGCAAGAGCTTTTCCTCATTTCTTTCCCTTCCCACAGAGCAACATTTCAACCCACTCTGTAGGTATGCTTTGGTGTGTGTTACTCTCTTGGATCTATATGTTGTGGCTGCCCAGCTATGTGTCAGGTGAGGACAACATCCCTGCACCAAGCCAGCATCATCCAGGTGGATTGGCCTAATTTGTGGGGTTCTGGTAAGCTGGTGGTTTTCTGTAGTGTCTGCACCTTGGACTGAAGGATCTAACCTATTCTTGTTTTTTAAAAAACAAAGAAAACACAGGTCTAGTGGGAAGGACCATCTTCAAGATGTAAAGAGCTACAGATGTGGAAATGTTTACTGGGGACAACAGGCAGCCTGAAATGATAGCTCAGAGGTGCGAGCTCATCTGAGCTCATCTCACTCATCTGAATGAAGCGTCAACTGTGAAAACTCTTATCATATGAAAAACAGCGCTATTTATCCATCCTTGCATGCTGGAAGGGAAACGGGCTGGTCATATTATGAATATCCAAACAATTTCCTGCAAGTATCATCTCATTTGAGATCTTGAGATATTTTTTTCTGATCTGCTCCCAACTTTTTCAGATCTGTGGGATCTGCTTCTTGAGGTTCACTCCCTAGCCATCAGCTCTTGTTATCCCAGCTTTCTAAGGAAGTCATTTTACACAATCGTACTGTATGGCAGCTCCTTTATAGCAGCTTTGCTGGCAACTCTCAGCCAAATTTAACAGAGCAATAGAGATCTCAAAGATAGACTTTCCTAAAAGTTTTTTAAAAATAGGTTCCTGGGTAGAGAAAAGAGAAACTTAATGAGTGCCGCTTCCTCCCCTCAGGCAAACCCAGTTACACCATCACTGTGCTGAGACTCCAGTTGACCTCCCAGATGGACATACATCCTGGCTGGCCAACAGCATGTGTTGAGCTCCACACCAGCACCGGCACAAACTGCATCACACTCAGGCATATGATTTGCCATGACACAGACCTCTTAGCGCTCATGCATCACTTTGCCGCCTTCTGTATCTCCCGTGTTTCTTTGATTGCTATCTCTGTCCTACCAAGATGCATCATGCATTGCATCACTGCTGCAAATGACTCTGTACAGCACTGTGTCTGTGCATTGTTGCAAGATTCCCACCTCCCCTGAAATCCCAATCCTTGCTGTCACCGCCTCTTCTGTGGTGTGTGACCTTGGCCCCAGCCTGACGCCAGGAGATGCAGAATGCCTCAGGCTGCTCTTTCACCCAGAAAAGGAGGAATGATGGAGTGATATCCCATCCTCCTACAACGCTGGCTCCTCTTTCTTTTCAGGAGCCAGTTCAGAATTGCTCTCCATGGATTTGTTCTTGGCTACTTCATGGGCCATGTCTCTCTCTATTACCATCGCTGCTTTGTCTGCTTATCTAACACCTGCCTTCTCTCTGTCAAGAGCCTTTTCTTCTGCAGCTTTCTACCATCTGGAATAGCCACTTGATCAACTTTAGTTTCTTTCTCCTTAAAAATACTTTTTTGTTGCCTGTACCTCAGCATGCAGCCTTATTGAGTGGGCTGAACATAGTCATCTTTTTACGCCAGTTTACTGGTTTATATTTGATATTACTTGCTTCCCTCTCTTGCATTACTGACTGGTGTAAAACACGTTGAGCTGCATTTGAAATGGCAGGTGCTGGACACTGTAGTAATGTACAGGATGTCAGTGTGTTCCGCTGGAGCCAACCTGCTTGCTGATGATGATCCACTGCTTCTACACAGGTGGGAAGCTGAGTTGAGAGGAGACATGCAGTGCACTGCAATGGAAGTGTACCTGTCTCCTTTACAAAAGGGGAAGATGATAAATCACACATATCTGGTTGCAGATTTAAAATGCAGGAACCTATATTTTCCTTTAAGTTGAAATGTTTATGGTAGATGCACTAGTGCAATGGAAACCAAAGCTATCTTTCAGCTGTTTATGTAACATGCGGGTACAGCACTGTCATGTTAACTTGTGATGTGGGTTTTTCCATCCAGGTTCCCAAACTATTGCTTAATCTGGGTCTGGAAGAGCCACTGGTTCATGGATCTGCACAGATCACTGACAGAGGCATGGTAAGTGTTCCCTTTACCCGTCTCTGCTTTTTCAATACAGTCTGCACGCCCTTCGCTTCAAGAACTGGTTCCTAAAATTCAGTCCCACTATTGGAAGTGAAGCTGAGTTCTGAAGTATGGAATTGCAATGTAGGTGATACAACCCAGAGTCTCCTTGTAGGCTTGCCCATGTGTTCCTGCCCTTCAGTCTCTGTCTTTAAAAATGTTTGGTAAAAATTCTATCTTACTCCCAAGTAAGATACTGCAGTCTCTTGTTCCCTAATGGCAGTTCATGGTAGTTGAGCAGTTTGCCTCCCAAAGGACACCAAACTCGGAAGGGGTCAGTATTTTAGCTCTGCTTCTTGCTAAAGCATTTTGGTTGAATACCAGCCTTCAAGCTTCCTTTTCACAGGTCTCACTGAGCAAATCTTAGTGAAACCAGTGAGTACCAGCAGGACTATTCTTACCATGCTTACCTGAATGAGGCCTACAGAGCGGACCAGCTAATGGAGTTTTACTAAGCTAATGGACCTTGGGAAGACTGTCCAACTGTCTGCCTATGGGATGGGCCCCAGATTTCTAGGTCTTTCTTCTGCCAAGGATCCCTAAGGGTAGACCAGGACACACTTTGTTGACAAGTGCTTGAGATGTGCTGTTTGGAAGAGGTGTATGGAGAACACATATCAGAGAGCTCCAGGTACTTTTGCCAATTTCCGTTCTTTTTTTCCCTAGATTGGATCAGATAGCATCATTGGGTCATCCACACAAGTGGGGGAGAAGACATCTATTAAACACTCCATCATCGGCAGCATGTGTACCATAAAAGACAAAGTTAAGATAACAAACTGCATCATCATGAATTCTGTTACAATTGAGGAAGGGTATGTCACCTCTTTGTATCTCGGGTTTTATTTGCAGTTTCTTTTTCTAGATAGATTCTGAGTCTGTAATTTTTGTCCTGTAAGCGATCCTCAGCCAGAACAGTTGATCCCAGGGGCTGTGTTTCTAAAGACCAAGTCAGAAATAAGTCTCTATAAACAGGCTACAAATGCACAAGTGAAATGAATTAACGAGAGGGCTGCAGTCTTGGAACATAAATTTCTTTTTTTTAGAGGAGATTATGTCATCTTCAGAATGTGTAAGTAAGTTAAGTGGATGTATGAGTCTGTATGAGCTTGTGTGTCATCCTTCCAAGCTTTATTTTAGTGGCTGGGTCTTTGAGTATACCTAAAACATTTGAAGCAGGAAACATATTTTGAAGTGGTACACTTACCAACTAGACATGTTCTTATCACCTTTGAACATTACAGCTTCACCTAAAATGTCATTTTCTTTGGCCCTTTTTTGTCATCTTGCAGCTTTACTTTACCATTGCATATGCTGAGTAATAGAATAAATGAATAAACTTTTCAAAGAGAAAATCTGCCAGCTAGTAGAGGTTTCCCATGCATTAAAGACACTAACTAAATAGGTAGCCTTGAGCTGTTCATTTCCAAATGTGGGAAAAGTGGCCTATCTGTAATTGTTGATGTCTGCATGCCCCCATCTTTCCATACATGCTGGCTTCCTGCGGATGTCAGTGGAAAGGAAACTGCTGATTGAGTCTGTGCAGGCCTGTATAAATTCCCTCCTTCTTCATGGCTTGAGGTTTGCTTAGGGCCTCAGGAAAAAGGCCAAACTCTTAAAAAATGCCAAGTTGGCTCTGAAAGTTGCATATCTGAAAAACAAAAAACCCCAAAGGATGTGGGGTCTATGGAGGATACTACTGTTACATAACTAAATTACAGGTAAGTATGGTACCTTATTGCCAAGTGTTTGTCTTTAATAGAAATCCACAGTAATTTCAAGCACATCATAAATCAGAATTCCGTTGAGTATAGAAAATAGCTGGTTTCCAGTTCAATCGCAAATGGATCCAATATGGCTGTATCACAAGCACTGCTGTCATAAGAAGTACCAGAACGTCTCTCGTTTGATCATGAGACCCTCTTGTCATTTTGATCAATGAATTGATGCCACAGTCATAATGGTATGGTTTTGCATATGAGGTGAGCAGCTCTACCATTAAATCACAGAGGCAGCTAAGTGTATAAATAGTGCTATTTTTATGAAGACTCACAAATCAGCTTCTGTTTGTCTGCACTGGTGTATAGTAATATTCTCTTCTAAATCCTAAATCGAGCTCAGAGTTGTTATCTTAAGCATTCCACAAAATTCTATAAGCATCATAAATATGGTGATATATTATTTTTTTAAGAGGGAAAAACGAACTTTTGGGGTAACATTTTTGTGAATTTCTGGAAAACAATGTCATCCCTGGTCACTCTCAGTGAAAACAATGTAGCCACCATTGAGTGAAAAACCTCATAGTCCCAGGGGTTTACCCCCTTAGCTGCTCTATGGTTACCGCACACTGATGCACTGGGGTCAAATTTGTAATTGTTCCTCTCCAGCCAGAATTAATATTATAGACCACGGAGCTTTATTTCAAAGCATATTGTAATTCATATTGTGTACATCTGCACAAATACTGAGCTGATAAAGTGTTTCTTATTGTATCGTGTTAAGTCTTAAGATTAGAGGGGTATGAAGTCATACATACACAGGTAGTGAGATACAGAAATATTCTAGCTGCTGAGTTTTGTTGAAAGAAGTCTTGCTTGTAACTTAGTGAAGAATTTCTATGGTTTTTTACCCTCTTTCATGACTTTAATTAAATCTGATAGATTTTTGTTAAAATGCTAACGATTCTTACACATGTTGATGGATCCATTTGCAACAGGTGGACAAATTATATGTGGTTTTGCTTTAAACTGCCCACAATGGACAACTTATCTTTACAAACATCTCTTCTCCCAAGTGTCTCTAAAATAACTCAGGCTTTATCTAATCACCAACTTCAGAAAACATCTTGGACTTTAATTGGAAAGTCAGTATATGTTGGCTGATATGGGTCAAAATGAGCATAATAAAGTGCCTTAACAGATCTAATTCATTTTTTGCTGCATAACAAATGTCCAACAAGTAAGCCAATTTTAACACCATCTGAGGTATTGTATTTTAGAAACTTCTGGAATTGCACTGAGAAGCGGGTAAAACCTGTGTCATTTAAAGAATATACATTTTAATGCTGACAGGAGCAGTTCCACCAAACTGATGGACTACTATATTAATGCCCTATCAAATGTGAGTGGTAACTGAAGGCTAGTCCCAGCAGTGTTCGTTGCAATAATACTAACTTGAAGCAGCAGGCTGAGAAGACTGCAGTAGGGCACATATTAGGGAAAAGACAAAGCTGTTTAGATAACCAGAGAAGAAAGAAAGATCGGGTAAATCATTTCTGGAAGTCGGGAGGCTGGGAACAACCAAATGCAAAAATTGCACCACATTCTAAGTTCATTTATCCAGAGCTATGATTATATATGGTACTGCCGTAGTAATTCCCTTACCACTTACATCACCTCTAGCTTCTCTGGGTTGAATCTTACCTTTTTTTTTCCACCCCCCCATCTCAACTGCGAAAGTGATCAGCAGCTTCAGTTCGCTATGTCAATATAGGAAAAAACCAAAAACCAAAACAACAACAACAACAAAAAAACAGATTAAAAAGTTTTATCTGTTGATAGTTTTCCTGTAATGTGATTTGAGAATCCTGTGCCATAGCTCCTGAGGCTTCAAGATCCACAAATTACATCTCCAAACCAGAAAAAGGTTTTGAATAGCCTCACCACATTTGATACCAGCTTCTCAAATAAATAGATTCTTTCTGGGCAGATGGGAACACCACAAGGTGCTTAGAACAAAACTAAGTTCCTATTGTTAGGCTGTGGTTGGCTCATTATTAGAGAAACAGAGGTTATGACCTAGATGATGATGACCTTCCCAACTGAATGGATCAAGGAACTGGGGTTAGCTTGGACAGTGCCATTGCATACTGTTTGCAAATTATGATCTGTTCTCCAGTAATGGCTGGTGTGTTCGATACTCTAGAGGGCCCGTAGCAGGGTTTTTTGTTTTCCCTGGTGTGTAGGGCTTCTGTTACATTATATATGTCTCCTGTGAAGTGATTTGAGTAGATATGGATTCCCGCTTAGAAGTGATTACAGGGGATTAAAGAAGTTAGTAACATGGGAAAAATAATTGGTAGTCCTTTCTTAATGTGTTTCCCACTGTGCAGTTAATTCTTCCATCAATGAGACAATAAAATAGTGAAGATTACATATGTGCTGAATGATGGACATACTTGACCAAGCTGGGAGGGATGTAATTTACACAACAGCGCAAGTGCTGAGAGATGCTGACTGCCCAGGTGACAGGCTGCAGTGGGGAAATGGTTCTTGTTTCCCTCTGGACGGCTCCCCAGAGCTCAGTGACAAACGACTGCACTGAGTTACATAGTTGGAGAAAATCTACTAATCGAGCTGAAATTACAGGTCACTTGAAAACTTTGTATATCTGAATGCTCCTGCAGTAGCTGTACATGTCCTCAGTCTCTATAGCATCTTGGGGCTGCCCCGTCTGTTTGTTCTGTTTGCATTAGAGGTGGTGCAGTACAACAGGGTCCCTGGATTCCCATGTCTTTGGTGCAAGAGTCCCCTCATTATAGCTCGCTTGCAAAGGAGCAGTCTGTAACACTGGCAGACTGACTGAAGCTGGTTATGTAGGGAGATTGTGCCATTTGCAAATGAAAAGTGATGTCTCTGATACGTTAACTCCACCCTGATATCTTCACAGAACAGAAATTACTGCTGTTGGGGCTTGCAGACAATCTCGCAACTAATTATGCTGACCTGAGCATGATAACTGTGTTTCATTTGGTATACTCCGGCACGCTTAGCTTCCTTGAAATGAGACCTAGATATGGATGGATGGATTCAGCTTCAGGTTCCTGTTTTGGCTTTTGTTTTGGCAGCTGGTGGTTGGTTTGAGGTTTTTTTTTTTCAAACATTGCCTTTATTTTTACCAGCCTTGTAGTTTTA